GTTTTTTGGGCGTTGGAGTGGCTGTTTTTTTGGACTCGAGTATAATTGGAAATTGGGTAACCGGTTCTGTGCGCTGCGATTAGAGCTACCTGTGGGTTGGCTGGGCTTGTCTCCGATGGGCTCTGCACATGGCCTTCGGAATGATTTCTCGGATGGGTCGAAGATCGCGGGTCTGTGCGAGAGTTTCTTGAGTGGGCTAAGCTTGGGAAACACATGCGTCACATTCTCAGAATTTCTTCTCCTGGGATTGATTTTCTTCACGGCTGTAAAACTCCCAAGCTTCCCCTTATCACATCAATTTCTAGCAGCACTTAAATTCCCACATCACCCGCGGACAAACCTGGCAATCACTACTCGTAGACTATAACGATTTGCCTACCTTTTACTGTTGATTGTTTCGAGTTTGCGTAAACGGCCCTTAGGCCATTGCTGAATTTTGCTTCCTAACCGGCTTTTACACTTTCTTATGTTTTTATGAGTCTATCACTTTGCACAATTTCTTCACTGCGCGACAACTGCCATAAAGTGCAATTCAAATGCAACCACGCACAATTAATCGCTTACTTTTTATAATAAGAATAGTGCCAAATTTATCAACAAAAGCGAACGACGAGCGAGAACGGACGAACCAAGCGAGCCAACGGTTAAATTTGGAGTGACGCTGCTCTGGCGCTGCTCGTGCTGGCGATACGATGCCGACGCACAAAACGGCGCACAGTGGGACAAACAGCAAGAGAGAAGCGAAATATTTGGTGTCGGGATATGTTTATAATAATAATATACCCTTGCACTTGGCAAGCATCAATGACGCTGTTTATGTGTTACTATCTATTTCTCTTACTTCAATATGTCAGATAGTCTGATCAGTCCTATTCGGGTTATGGACATGTCCAAAATTCTTTGAGATAGCTTAAACTACAGACACCACACATGCAGAAAGAATCCATGGATATGCTTGACTTATTATGATTTTATACATGTGAACAGTTTAAAGCTATTTTGAAGAATCGTTACATTCAGTATAATTGCTTAAGTAAATCATGAACATTCTCCAACAATAAATGCATTGAAGCCCACTGTGCACACGGCCACCTTACAAGCGAATGATCGCATAAAAGAGAAATTGCAACAAGCAAGCATTCCGTCGGTCGCACCCGCTCATTCACGTTTATTTTTGTTGTTCCTTCTCTCTCTCCTTCTCTTCCTCTCATAGTCGTCGTCGCAGTTCGCGTCGGCAGAGAGCGAGAGTGGGAGTGGGAGAGACAAGCACAGCGTAGGGTGGTTTGATGGTAGAATTTTTGGTCGACTTGGGTCGCGCAGAAGCAGGTCAGCAACTTGATTTGTATACCCTTGCAGAGGTTAGTATGTGATTTTTGAAATGCTCTTTTATTGCGATGGATTTATCAATAAAATTCAACAAACTATTTGGCAGTCAAATTTGTATAAAATTAGGGTATCTCATTTTTCGGCCTTTGCGTACGTGTTTTAATTTTTTCTACCTATTTTGTATTGTGCTTTGGCCGGGTTGGTAATGATCTTCTTGCATGTGGGTTGTGTTGGTGCTGTTGTTGCTGCGCCGGTGGCGGTGGCGGTGGCGGAGGCGACTGTGACTGTTGCGTTCATTAGCGGGGCCGGGGCTTTTTTGTTTGGTTTGTTATATGGCCAGAAGGAGGGAGGGCGTGCTGATACATGGTCCAGGTAGACACATAACATAGTAAAGGTGTACATGCATATGTATTGGGTGGCACTACCTGCTGTTTAGTGGCGTGGATCGATGTCTGATCCCAGCCCGATATGATTTAGGGTTCAAGTATTGTCATTCAACTGTTACCATTGCGTACTCCCGTTCAGCCTAGTCCCTGATTCAATTGCTATGCAAAATGCATGACTCATAAATTGGGAAACACCTAGCCTTCAAGCAGTGCAACGACGACAGCAACAAAAACAACAGCAACAACAACAATTCTTTGAAACTGAAAGTTAAACGCAATCAACGGGGACGCTAGTGCATCATCTTGGGTCCACTGGTGACCATGGTGTTTGTAGTGGTGGTTGACCGATCGTTTTGATCAAGCAACTGGCGTCGTGAGTATTCCCCACCCCCCAGGAAACGAAGAAAAACTCCAAAGACTGTGGCAAAAAAAAAGAAGCGAAAAAAATGATAGCCAATCAAGGCAGACTTATAAATGCTCTGCCTTACGTTAGGATTGGCTTAATCTAAGGAACCCAATGCAACATTAGAGGATAAACAAAATCTAACAAACTGCTATCATATTAGTTGGTAAGATTAGAGTGACCAACTGGCCCAGAGAATCGCATATGCTTTGCTTGAAGGCAACAGGTTAACCATCGAAATGGAGCAGCGTGAGCACCCTACTTTACCTTCATTGCCACTCAAGTGGAAGTGGATGACGACGATGATGGGCTGAAGGAGCAGCCTGGAAAAATTGAACCGGTTTGACAGCAGCCGTCGACGCTGCCATCCAACATGTGGGCCACCACCACTACACACACATAGACAGAGGGGAATACACACCGGTCCGAATCCCCCCAAAGAGAAGAGGTTCTGGCCGTTGCAAAGTGAAGGAAACCTTGATGGTAACATCTTGCTGGGTGGATGTGGGGACCCGTTAGCCTTTACTTGGTCCATCCTTGGACCGGTGGAGGTTGTGATATAACCAAAGGGCCATAATGAGCCAGGGCCAATTACAAAACGGCGGTAACAGTAACACATGGCTTCCTTTGGCCGAAAACCTGTTGCCCGCGAAGCCCTTCTTTTTGGCGGGGAGAAAGTTCCCCTTTGTCATAGCGTAGGGCTTCTCATGGGCGCCACTTGAGGTGAAGAAATCTGCATTCCCTCAGCCCCGAAATGGGTTGCACTTTGTCACGTCTCATTTAACAGGAGACTCGAAAAAAACAACAAAAGACGACAGCGACGGGCCCGGGGGTCGCCTCTCGAGCCCTCCTGGGGTGGTGGTTTCACGATCGTTCTCACATCCAATATGGCGTCACCCCTACTCGGGTGGGCGTGGGACGGCCACGCATGCGCAATTCTCTTCAAACTCCAACGCGGCTCATGTGAGTGGGTGGGCCGCCGTCTCTGTCTCTGTGGGTGTGTGTGTGTGTGCTGTACTGGGTTGGGTACAGTCTTCGCTTCTCTTGCCTGCGGTTGGGTGAGTGTGAGTCACTGCTTGGCTCTGCTGGCTGTCCCGACCCCATGGCTGATGGTGGAGTGTGAATGAAATTGAATCGACAGGAAATGGTTGACCTCTCAGTTGTTTTATGACCACAAAACTTGTTCGATTAGTTGGAATTTGACGGCAGAAATCTCATCTCATTATTCGATCTCGGAGTTGTAAGAGCCTCTTTGTATCAGTCAGTAGTCAGATAAGTTAATAAGGAAATGCTTTTGCCATTTTAAAGTGCATTGCCATTTTGTAGACAACTTTTGGAACTGTGAAAACTACATTATCGATCTGGAACATTGTCAATGCCTGGCAGCAATGTCTGCTTCTACGCATTACCTTCATTGGTTTTCTCTCTAATTTCAATTTTCACCATACAGAAATCATGGAAAAAGCAATTAAGCTATCAGTCTGCGAGGGGAGGTGCCTTAAATGCACAATTAAATTCCATATAAGCCAGGGAGACCACCCATCCATGTGGATTTTGTACATACGTACGTACCTATGTACATAAGCATAATCCCATATACATGCAATTCAAGTGCATGCAAATTGCATTTTATATAATATAGAATATAGAAATTTATAAAATGCATGTCTGTATTTTACAATTCATACATATGTATGCATATGTATTATCTCCCCACAGTCTATGGCAGACGACCGCCCACAATTTATTGGACGAATGCATTGCCTAGCAACATAGGAGTCACAAATTTTTAGGTGCCATTCAGCTCCATACCATAAAGGGAATTCATCAAAGGCAAAAATAATCAAATACAAATTGTATAATGTGTGTACGAGTGTGTTTGCATTTATATACAATACCATTACAGTCACACATGGACAGACAGACACACTAGCAAGTCGCATATGTTGCATAAAAGCAAAACCCAAAAAACCATATGCAAAAACCGCCCAACGCCCCCAAAAATCGAAATGAAAGTGCAGTCAGCAGCAGCAGCAGCAGCGGCAGAATCAACGGCAGAAACGCACCAGCAGCAGCAGAAGCGGCAGCAGAAGAGAGCCAAAAGCAAGCCGGAGAGAGCGTAAGCTTATGCACTTGCACCCGGAGTGAGAGCGTGCGAGCGGAAGTTGAACTGCAACAATTCCTTTGCACTTTCCGTAGAGTAGAGTGGGTGGGCTTGTCCCATGGGCGAAATAACAAAAATTGTTATAGACACGAAATTTATGATGTGGCTCTGGCTCTGAAAAACAACGACCCACCCCCAAAAAGGTGGCGGAATGTGGGTGACTGGTAGGAGGGGCTGACAACTGGTTTTTAGTTTTCAAATGCCAAAACACTGGAGAGTCATTGTTGGGAGAGCGTAAGCGAGAGAAAGAGTGAGCGAATGGCAGAGAGAGTGTGGGTTGTTGGGGATGCATTGTTTGGGGGTTGTTGGCCGTTGCATAGAGAGCGCCTGCTCCACACCACTACCATTGCGATATTTTCCCTCTCTCTCTCTCTCTATTTGCGTGTGGCGGTGGAGGTAGTGGCAGGGGGAAGTATTGATGATGGAAAAATAGAAGTTGGCGCTTTTTAGTTTGGGGGTTGTTGGTTGTAGTAGTTGTTGTTGTTCTGGCGGGGTGTTTCTCTGGGAAAAAGTGCATACCGAAAAATATATGTACGCACACACACACAAACAAACACAGAGAAAGGCAACGCAATGCGGAAAAATCAATAAATCATGCTGTTGGGAAAAATGTCTTTAATTGACCCGTACAAATCAATTTGCCAACCAGCCCATCTGCCTGTAAACAGTTACTTATCCATGATGATGGCTGACATGGCCAGCTTTTGTTAGTTACACTTACCAACATGTTCGCAGCAATTACAGCGATCCGCCCCAAGGTATGCAACACAATTCAATCCGTAATCCTCCTTCGGTTCTCAACCGCTTTCACAGCAACCGCTAATAAATTTTGTCAGCCGCTTTCTTTGATTCACTTCCGTTTCCGTTGGGTGATGATTTTACATACTCCTCTTCGATTGAACTTCTCCCCTTTTACGATGCACTTTTTGGGGTTACCGTAGTAGTATCTCTTGGAGACGCACCGATTCGTTCCCCTTTCACAACTAACCTCATCAACACTCACACACCGAATGAGAAAAGTGCGCTGCTGTTCTGTGTAACTGAATGAATGTCGCGGAGGAGCGCTACCGACGCGACAGGGTGGTGGGCGTTTTGGGGGTTGGGGCTTAGTTGGGATCCCCTCTTCCCCCTTCGAAAATAGATTTGTTTTTTGTTATTGCGCTACGTGGCACGCTGTTGTTGCCTCGCCGATTGCCAGTCGCGTAATAATAATTGCGCACGCTCTCGATGTTGTGCAATTGTTGGGAAAAGCTTCTTGTCTGCCGTTGCCGCTGTTTCTGCTTTTTGCTTCTGACTCTAGCAGCCTTATGGCCGGCTTCCTTCTGCCACCCAACTCTACGTGGTTGTTGTTCTTGTTGCTGGTGGTGTAAAAAAGCGCGCGCATTCATAGCCAACGCTCCCACGCATAACAAGTGAGTTTCTCTCACTCTTTGCCTGGCTCTCTCACAGTCTCTCGCGCTCGCTCTCTTTGTATCTCATACCCTGGCGGCCATGTTTATTTACAAAAAGTTTAACGGTATTCGGGCTCTACAAGTGAGGTACTTGAGGCATAAAAGGACGTTTGACTCGTGGAACACTTCGATGGAAACATGTATGTAGCAACATAAGTCGAATGTAGGAAGAGTCGATTGTTGGTAAAGAAAAGGAAGAGTAAATGTAGATCTAAATACATTATGTATACATAATGCATTGCAAATTACATCATTCAATGGAAGCCATGTCTGTTTGTGTGTGTTTTATTTATTCTGGGGAATCGGGAATAATGTTTTCTACGATATAAAAATATGATTTTATTTCTAAAGAAAATCACATCCAAAACTCTACATCACTGGCTACATTAAAACGTACAGTCACATAACGTGGACACGAACCACCTAAAAAGACACGAACCAGGCGCTGACTGACTAAAGCTGCATGCTATAAGAAATTATCAAGATGATGAATTTCTGCGAATCTTTTCAATGAATCTCTCCATATAATGGTACTGCTATGTCTGTATGTTTTTGGGCTTCTGAATCTTTTCCAAGATCCTGGGTCACAATAAACTATCTGTAAATGTAAGGGACAATTTTGCGGTGTGTCCACCACGATAGGATGGATGGAGCATTGGAATGTTTTAACATTTTTGGACTCACCATCCAGCTTATCAATTAAATTGTGTCATAGGCGACCCGACCCACGCTTACCTGACCAAACGATTGCCTGCGACTTGACCATGACGACGCTCCTTTCCATTTGGTCAGTAGCTCTACTCGTTTTCCCTCTCATTTTAGCAACAGTTTTTTTGGTGGCCAGCAAGTTTTTAATCAAATTGCACATGTGACCCCACAAAGTCAGGCACCCCCTAACACCCCACAAGTCTTGGCTAACCTAATTTTAAAGTCGACTCCGCAAGGCGACTTCTAGTAGATGGCTACCACGGCTACCAGTTTTTCATCCGTTTTTGGGTGGTTTTCTGCCACGTCAAGTGTCTCGAAAAGTTTTTAATCAACGTCACCGGCAACAACAAAGGCAAACACACTGTTTTTTTTTTTTGTTCACCACTTTTCCTACTTAACAGTTTAATTTCTTCGGTCTGTTTTTGTGTGGTTTTCCTGCTGCCCTCGATTTGGTTGGGGGGTGGGAAAGGTGTGGGTGGTGGAGTTGCATTTTTGCCGCATTTTTACCAGCAGCAAATTCAATGCAATTAAAAACAACTCATAATGGAAGGAGGATGCAACAGACCCTACCCCCGCCTGCGGCCCTTCGGTAATTTGTCTCCAGTTTGGTGGAGCAAAAAGATGGTAAAAACACAAGTGAAAGGCACAACATGGAGTACATATCTTTGGTTACTCTCCAACGCTTAGTTGACCATCTTCCGATAAAGATATATGATGAACGATGTCTGTTTTGGTGAAGTCTGCGCCAGTTAAGAGCTTCCAAAATGTAATCATCTCCCATTTGCACGTAACAAACATCTGCTTAAAACTAAAATACCCTTTTGCTGGATACTGGCAACATAATAATGTATAAACATTTTTTTGTAGGGTTTGTTTTGGGGAGAGAAGTGATTTTTAATACAACATTTGATGGCAAACGGACTGCTGGGTTTATGCATTTAATTAAAATGGGAATGATAAGACCCTGGAGCTGAGTGCCAAAGCCAGAGGCAGAGTCACAATGAAAATGCAATGAAAACGAATAAATATGAAAGGACTGCCTGCGATGCAGATACAGATATCAGCCAGACAGAGACGGCATTCGAGTGTGGGATAGAGACGGACTTAGTCGTGCTGCTTTTGCTTTAGTTAAAATATGCAAACAAGAAACGGAAAAAACTTATTTAGACGCCGCAGCACCAGACAACAACACAAACATACTTAAATGAATATATACGAATACGAATATATGATATGGAAAAAGAGCAATAGAAACAGGCAGAATAACCCCCAGATACTCGTACGTACATATACCACTCGTAAATGTTGGCTTTGGCTGCTTATGAAAATGGCGGCACACACGAGTGCAAATTTTCATATATGTATTTGTGTGTGTGCATACTGCAGTGGTTCTCCCACGCATTGTCCGTATGTGTGTGAGAATTCTCTTGCCTTTTGTTTAACAAAACGCAGCACAATGGGGCCACTCGGAGCTGCAATGGGACAAATGGTTCCATCAGCAGAAACAAACAAAAAACCTGATTTAAATTTTAATGGAAATGGAAAATAATTAATAGTTTGGCAAATTAGACTTGCTGCATATTCATATACGTATGTACATACATATGTACATAGATTTATGTAAAACCAATTTAAAATGAAATTTATTTTACTTGCAAATTTGTTGCATCATCACTCTCTATCGGTAAGAAAAATAAATACTTTTACACTTAATTTGTTGCTTAATAAGACTAAAAACTGGAAATTCCAACTGCCAGGGTATACAGTGTTAGGGAGGAAAGGTCTGTTAATCTGATCACAGTTTTATATTTAGCAAAAAGTACCAAAGAATTGAGTCTAATCGATGCCTTTCTAAGCTGGTTTTCACTTTTATTTTTATTATTTTTGTTGATAAATAAGCATCTTTTAATCCAACCGAGTGTTGATCTGTTTACATATGCCATCATAATATTACTACCATAGCCACAGATACAACTTTGTTTCTGGTTTTATTCCACATCTGCCCATTGTCTCTATTCTTTTCTGGAGCTTCTGGTCGCCTCTGCTTTTATGTTTCTTGCATGTGGCCAAAAGATTTTTGCCCTCTTTTGCCAGTATTTGGCTGTCGTTGGAGCTCTTTTTGTGTTGTGCCGGTAGTACGAGTATTACCAATCCAATGTCTGAAAAACATAAAAATACGAAACGAAACGGAAAAATTCTCCCACTATTGTTTGATGGCGCGTGGGAAGCATTTTCAATGTTTTGTTTTGTTTGAGAAAACTTTTGTGCGGCTACCGCTGCCGCTGCTGTTGCTGTTGCAGCAACGAAGCTGAATCAGTTTCAGGACCCGGAGACCGCCCTCACCCTGCTCCTCCCACTTTGTGTGTGTTTCCCAACCCCACTTGCAGTGGAAGAAATTGTTAATACATAATTCATGTTTAATTGTTCACCATTTTTTTTGCTTCTGCTGCTGCTTCTGCATCGTTTTCTTCCACATCTTCTGCAGCTATTTTTGTACAATTATTTGACCAAAAAAGAGAGAGAGGAAAAAGTGCTGGTTAGTGGGGGGCATGGGGCTGGGTTTTTGGGGGCAAGAAGAACTTTGTCTAATGGCTGCCAAAGTTGATTGAAAACTTTCACTGATTGAGCTGCATTTAGTTTGCGGAGATTTCAGCGCTCAATGTGGCGCATCCTCGCTGACAGACAGACAGACAGACAGACATTTCAATTAGCTGAAAATTGTGGCAGGTGGGAGTGGGGCGGACAGGGACAGCCTGTGGAGCAAGCAGACAGTTTGCGTAATTTCGGGTCTTGGGTGGAATGTCAGTTACAGTTTCTACAGCCTGCGGCCAATGAAATTTAGATGAACGAGTTGACGGGCTGAACGTTGCACGATTCAATGCACATGGAATACAGAGGGGTGGTGGCTGTGGCAGGGGCAGGGGCAGGGGCAGGGGCAGGGGCATACACTCACACAGAGAGGGGGAGAATATTTTCATTACCGCTCTGCGGGCACACAAAAAAGTTGCGGGTGGTCATGACTGTTCCGTTCTCCGTTCCCCGCTCTCCCTGAACCCCTTCATTGGAATTGCACTTCTCATTCAGCCACTGCCGTAGAGTGGCCGGGCTGCAGGTTGAAACTTTCAAGTGCAACTAAAACTATCGTCCAGTGCATTTAACTCGGTGTCCGAGAGTGAGAATTGGAAGTTATTGGCTCTACGTCTCGTTGCGTCGCGTCGCACTGCGCCACATACCATGCCCCATTGACTCGACTCTGGTGCACCCTCATCGTCATGCTGCTTTTCGTTTGCTTTTCAAATTATTCAGATTTTCATTTTTGGTGGGAGTGTGTGTGCGACGACTATATTTTGGTGGTTGTTGAGTGCAAAGTGGAAGGAACATTGACGGATGTTCATGTGTGGAGGAGAACGAAACGAAATCGTGCAGACAAAAGGTAATCGCTTGGAGAACTTCAGCCACTCCTAGATGACTAATTAATCAAGCTCCATTGTGCTCCTTTTTTTAAGGGGTTTTATGGTGGCCAGGGAATTCGCACAGGATTAGATAGTAAAAGTTGGGAACTGTCCAAAACGAAGAGGGGTACAAATGTGTCATTAAAGTGGATAGAAAATGTTAAAGTAATTATTATAAACTAAACTAAATTTCCATTTTTCTGCCAAAGCGTACGTTTCTTTTAGCGTACAGCTGGATTTTCATTAGTGGAAACCCCTCCTCCAAATATCGTTAAGGTTTTCCCTCCCTTTCATGTTGTCGGCTGTTGCGCGCCGAAGTTCGTTTGCCTCAGCGTCGAACCCTTCAGATGTAAACAAAGCAGATGCTTGCAACTCCAGCTTAGACGCAACTTGTATGCATGAGCAGCGATGGAACTGTTATATGCTATGCCTATGCAACTCTTATACTGTTACTTAAATCGAGCTCATACTTATTTTCGGCTCTTATACACGCGTTTTAGAAGTTGCCTTAGCCAATGCAACAACCGCATCCAACCACCACAACCAACTGGCACATGCTTGAGCAGA